AAAAAATGGATCAAAGTATCGACAATTTTCTTATTAATCAAACTTGAACCTCCAGAAAGTTGGATTGTCTTAAATGGCGGTGTGAATTCAAGAAGTAGCAATTGGTTCGAGTTTGATCACCTTGTAAGCTGATCTTGATTGGCCATCATAGATATCGTTCTTACTAACATTGTAGAAAATCTGGGGTACTGTACATAAGACAGTAAAGGAGACATCTTTGGATCAAGATGGAAACACATTGCTTGTCGAGCTGAAGTAGGGTCATTGCAATACATGTCGCAATCTAGGACTAGTATGTAGGGGGCATTGCTCATTATTCCGGAAACTCGAAGCTGCAACAAAAATATCACAACAGTAATGTGGAATCTCAATCGATTCTCCTAAAACCGTGTCTTTGTGACCTTTTTATCAAAGTAATGTAGTTTCAATCTTATTTATTAAACTATCGTTGTTTTTATGACATATTTTCAATAAAAAAAACTTTGAGACTGTACTTTTAAACAAGATTTTAGTGTAGTATTTCAGATATACAGTTTTATAAAAATAATGATAGTTTAGTAAATAAATTTCAAATTATGTTTTTTAATCAAACCTATCGTATATATGTAAAACATAGGGGTGTGTGTGAGAGAAAGAGAGGGGAGAGGGAGAGAGAGAGCATACAAGAGCATTTAGGGCGCCAGCCTTGAAACGATGAGAGTGGAATGGTCTTTTCTCACGAGATACATATACGAGCAAAGGCATCTTAGTGTGGCTATCTTCATTCACTTCATGCTTATTAGTATCATGTATAACCTGTGACACAAATCGGTTAACTTCTTCTTTTCCTTTAAATCAGTGGTTGAAATAATTACATAATGGGGGTGATTATAAAAAATCCACTTGTTATTAGAGATGGTTATTGCTAATGAAAAAATGAGTATAACATCCTTGCTAGGCCAAGGAAAACAAATGAAAAGTTGTGATTAGTATGTTGTCAAAGTTAATTCATTACTACTCATAACTAATAATTCTATTGCAAAAGATATTTCACGAACCTTGAAGGATAATCATCACCATATCATATTTGAACTTGCTTGATCAATACTATTATACTAACTAAGATTTCTTTTCAAGTTTTTCATCTCATGTGATATGACAAGGTTTTCACCATCAAATAAATAGATCCCGTTAATATTAAATGATAGAGATAGTATCACAAACTTCATAAACATACCATTACTGAAATAAATAATCACCAGGCCTCATGACATAAAATTTCTTCATGCCATTTCATGTAATTAGACAATAACATTTGGCAAATTATTTTAAAGAATTTAGAACAAACCCATATGGAAATAGGATGGTCTTTGTAAGGAGGCATCTGAGTCAGAAATTGGGCCAAGTTTCATAATGTGTTGTTATACTTAGTTGAGTTTTTATTGCTAAATTCAGATATAATATGGTACATGACTAAATTTGATTGAAATTGATAAATTGGAAATGGAAAGGATTTGGATTCTTTCAGAAAATATCTCTTTTGTATTTTATGCAATTATAAAAATTCAAACCAATAAGGATCTCATTACGTACCTCAATATAAGGGGGCCGATCGTGCACAACAGAATCATCCAACCCGCAATTCTCCACACTTCTCTTGAAAATTTGATAAGTCGACTATAATAAATGATAACATTAGCTAACTATCATTTCATACTAGGAATAAATTTTTTTATTATGACTAATGATATTATTATAGTATTGATAATTTATTTTTCATCTATTAAAATGTGACACGTCTAAATTTTTACATTTTGTTATTTTAATATTTTCAAAATCAACTATCATAAATAAACCTATACAAAATCTACGGCTAGAATTCTTTTTTCCTATATAGTATACACAATTTTCTATGTGAGTATCCTAGACTTAACCACAGTATTGATGTTGCCTTGAATCAACTTTTTTTTATTGTTTCATCTTTTCGGAATAATTATTTTTGTTTAAATGCAAAAAATAATATTTCCAAAAATCAAATTGTTTATTTTTTAAAAAAATAGCTGCAAGAAATATTTTTTTTCAGCTTTTTGGCATTTACTATATAAATGCAAAATAAAAAAAAATGAAATCGCTATATATGGTTTATTAAAAATCTAGCAAAAAAACAATCGGATAAATAATTTGAATTATAGTCTAAATTTAAAAAATTATTAAAATAGTGAATTTTAGATTATTTGTCAGTTATTATATACAATCACAATTTTTTTGTAGTAATTAGTTTACTAAAAAAAAACAAATTGTTTAGGACAACAACTGATGTCCACAAGAAGGGAAAATTTTCAGTTACATATCCTCTAGTTTATCATATCTTTAAATAAATCTCCTCTAATTTTTAAATCTCATTGACACCCCTATTAAATTAAAGACTTTAACTATAACAACACTTTACTAAATTGCCCTCAATATTTTAGAAAAAACTTTATACACACCCCCTCTAAATTAGACATATCTTCAATGAAACTCCTCTATTTTTTAATTTTTTCTATGTATTAAAATTCGGGTGAACCAAAATGTCAATTCGAGCCGAATAAAATGCGTTTTTAATCAACTTGAATCAAACTTTAATTAACTTGCATTGAATTTTAATCGCCTTAATTTTTGATATATAAAAAATATAAATTTTAATTGACTCAAATTCTAATACGTAAAAAATGAATTTTAATCAACTTGAATCAAAATTTAATTAACACAGATTTTAATAAGTAAAAAAATATAAATTTTAATTGACTCGAATTGAATTTTAATCAGCGTTAACAACTCAGGTTGAACTCAAATCCACTCGAATTATAATACGTTGTGATTTAATTATAAACTAAAATGGGTGTAAATAATGTTTTAAATAATAAAGAGAATATTTTTGAAGATATAGTAAATTAGAAAGGATGCCGCTAAAATTTTCCCTCGATAAATTTGACGAATAGCCTATTAAATTATAACATTACAGCCTATTAAATTATAACATTACAATATGATCAATCATAAAACGTTAAAATGTCATTTTTTTTTTAAGTTGTAACATTTTGGGACTTTCTCATTAAACTAATTCAAAATAAGTTAGGTGGACCTTGCCGGCCGATCAAATAAATTCATAAATTCTTTTTACCTTGATCTTTTCTTCCTCTCTATTGAAATCATCGCTCCGAAGAAGACGATCATCGTCACCAAATGATGAAAAATATGCTTCAGGCGACCTAGTCTTGATTCCATATTTTCTACAAAATGGAAGCCAAACCCTTGCGAAGGAACATGTTTCTTTCATGGCATACAGTGTCACGGCAGCACCGCCGTCGTCGGAAAGATACACCGCCATCTTTTCCGGCGGGTAGTCGAGCGCCATGGCTGACAATACTGTATTCATCACCTCGATCACTGGTTCCTTCTGAGGGTCGGCGGTGCATATAAGCACGTCTATCGCTGGAAAATCCTCGTGGCTGGGGAGCTTTTCCGGGTCAACCGACCAAACTACTGGTCGCCACCGGAATGGTTGTGTGAGGAGCCATAGGAAAGTGAAGATTAGCTCAGAAATGGTAATAAGGCCCCATGCAAAAACTGGCACATCGCCATGAAAGAGGTGAGAGAATCTGTAGTAGAGTAGGGCTAATATGGCTGTGAGGTGGAAGAACATGTGGAGTCTGTTAGTCACCATACGAGATTGCTTGACTGTGCAGGTGTGGAGAGAGAAAGTAGCCATTTTTGGACCTTGATTTCACAAACCAGAGGGGTCTCGTCTTCTTAACATTGATGGCCAAGCAGGCCCTTTAAATGCATCAAATGGCCCTAATTGTTGCATAGTTTAATACAAAAAAATAGCCTTACCTTTCTGACCTTTTCCAAGTGACAAAAGCAAATTACTGTCTTACTATCTCTCTCTCTTACATATTAATAGAGAACTAATTGAATTTAATCATTGAATTAATTATAAATTTTAATATTTGATTAAACTCATTTTTGATCTCACAATTATATTTTATTAGGTCTTAAATTAAGTCAAAATAACATTTTTCGTTTAGATCTAATTTGGGTGTAAATTAGATGACTTAATTTATTATTAATGAATTAGATCTCTTTAAATTAGAACCAAGTAACATTAATTACCTTCAACATCCTTATAATACTAGTAGATCATATCAATTATAAAATCATTAAGTCAGACAAATTCATTATTTTAGGTACTCGCCCTAACGTAACAATTGTTCAAGAAAGTGGAATAAAAAATTAATAGAACACAAATGTCTAGTCCGTAACGTATCTTTCCTTTCACTTTGATTTTTATTCTTGTAATTATGTCGCTTTAGTCTTCCAAATTATTAGTTAGTTTACATTTAAACTGTTCAGTCGAACTTTTGAATTGGTAAAAGATAAGAAACATGCTTTATGGTCGTAATATCAATCATCGATTTAGAGAGTTTTGAAATTTATCAATCACGACGCCATGACATAGTATTAAAAGATACTATCTAAAAAAAATGTTGAATATGACGAGAAATTCAAATTTTATCACAACATCGTGGAACTGTATCAACACATTCGTTGATAATAACTCAACGATTCGAGATTGACTAAGATACAACTCGAACAGCTCGGTCGAGTCATGCGAGACTTGAAGTTTATACGTATCGTCTAACGGTATCGTCTTAAAAAGTATCGAATCATCCAACTTGACCAACTCGTATCCAAGGCGGACCTAATAAAAATGAGGGTTCCAAGAGAAAATTTAGGCAGGGCTTTTTGAAAATTTAATATTAAAATACTAGTAATGTAATTAGAATTTTATTTAATTTTTTTCAAGATATAAAATAACTAATTTAGCCTTTTTATTTGAGTATTGCTAATGGGTGAGAGTATGTTATCAAAAATGGTGTCTACAAAAAAAATAGAACTTTTATGCATTAAATTACAATTTGTACTTAGGTGAAATTGTAACCAAAAAGTTAAGATCAATACTACAAAGTACTCTTTCTAAGGTCAAATTATAACCTTTTGGGCAGTTAGTTACAATCTTTAGAGGTGTTGAGAACGATGCTAAATTGTTATGATTGATCCTAAATTGAGAAAGATATGAGTTCAAAAAAATAAATCTTTGAAGTGTACAAAAAATGAGAGATATACGGAGGGAGAGACTATCAAGAAGATGTGATTGATAGATTTGTATTTTATTTATTTATTTATTTGACTTCGAGATGATTTTGAAAGTTAATATTAAATATGAGAATCATAAATTCGTGATGAAAATATTAATTGAATTAATTAAGGTTTGTAATAAGTTGATAGATGGAATGAATTGTTTAATTTGTGAAATAGAAAATATATAAAATAGTATCTAAAATACAAGTTATCTTAGATATTTTAAAAGATGAGACTTTTTATTCTGTAACCAAATAAAAAAGATAATACTTAAACAAAGCAAAATAAAAAGAAAATATTAAAACATTTATAACTACTTGAGTACTTATTTAAAAAATGGAGCCTCATCCCAAATGAGGCCGTGAGTAACCGTCTAAATGGTTTCACATATGAGCTGGCCTTGCTTGCTCGTATCAATATTGATCGTTACTTTGAACTAGGGTAACTAATGGCTCTTCTTTATATATTTTGATTGTCTTTATCGAAGACATTCATTTAATTATCCACAAAACAAATACATCGTAAGAGTACAAGTGTCCATTTGCAATAACTAGTCTTCGATCGATATCGTTTTCACTATAATTTTCAAAGTTGAAACCAAACTTGGTGACAACTAAGTTCTAATTAAATCCAAGTCAGGACAATTGGGTACATTATGCAAATCATTGTGTTAATAGTATTTTAATAAAAAATCCTGCAAGCACTCCAGATACATTACACTTCCACTCTTAAACTATCACCTTTTTTCGCTTTGTCCTCTCAACTACCAAATTTCTCACATTATATTCTCAATTATGTCATTAGTTTCATATTGCCCCACTTACTAACATCTGTTATAATTTAACAAAAAATTATTCTATTTTGCCCTCTAAACTGTTTAATTTTTTTTTACTTTATGTCGACACATCAACGACTTTTGTCCAAAAAGATAATAGACGTTTGCGATTACAGCAATGTGAAACAAAAATGTTAATTAAAAGTGCAATGTGAAAAATTTGATAGTTGAGGGAGCCCAGTGAAAAAAAATGTGATAGTTTCTAGAGTGTAAGTGTAATTTACCCTAAAAATAAAAAGTATATTTTTAGAGCTCTTTTTTTTTTTTCTACATAGTGTTGAGGTTTACGCCGACTATTCTCTCGAGTTCAATTGCTGGCTATTTTTAAAGTTTTTTTAACAATAAGAAAAGTATCTTTTAAGATATAGAAAAATTACATTGTTTAGAAAAATTCAATCCCATATCGGAAAAATAGTAGAAGTTACAAAATTTTATATTGAACTCTTATGAGTCTTAGTGAGTATAGCAAGACTTATGAGGCCTTGACACCTCCCCTCTGCCAAAGAAGGTGAATGTAGAGGAGATACGATTTACTTGTTTTTTGTGGATCAACTTTAACAATTTTTCAGGTAAATTATGTATTTTCTTCCAATGCATTGACTTTGGAATAATTACTTCATCTCCTAGTTTTCTTTTTCATTCAACAGTAATACCATGTTCTACAATATGTTTATACCATGACTAAAGTACACTACAAACAAATGACACAAGTCTCGCACAATTGGATTGAGTCGTCCGAAATATTTCTGAGTTAACTCTAAGTTAACTCCGAATTATCGAGTTATTCTCACCGAAATAGCTATTCTATCACACCACGAGATGACATTTGTCTCTCATCAAGTTTGACTTCTTCTTTTATGTTTGTATCACCTAATACTATTTGCAGCGATGCGACTATTTTGTATTAAAGTTCTTTGAGTCAGTGAGTGATATTCTGATATTTTCAGAGAGAAACAAGTGTTGGCATTTTTTTTTAAGTTACTTCTTTTGTGTTTTCCCATGACAAACATAATTTTAAGGAAAGTATAAACACAAAGATCTTACTTACCCAAAAACAAAAAAAAAAACTTAGGAAAACTCAAAAGAGTTCAAAGGTTTGAGTGTATCATCCATTCACTAGTAGGGCTACACAGAACTACAGTGAAAAACAATGGGAAAACCAATAGAAAACAGTTAAGCTCGATCAGCACTCTTATATTACACCACCAACAAAGCAAATTAAACTATGTTCACTGTGACTAATGTTACCAATGGACCATTGAAATTTAACAAATTCCAAATCCTTAGAGCAAAGGAAAGTAATTCCAATGGATCACTGCTTTCATTTGACTGTTTTTGGTATCAAGTCTTCAAGTATGGGATAGCTGAAAGACAGAATGAGGGAGGAGAGGAAAACCTGTCCAAACATCTCTTCAAAGTCTATCTCAATCATCACCCTTTTCAGTCCAACTACAAAGCATACCAAGTTCAATGTCACTAATAATCTCAGGGGGACCATGAACATGTCAGCCCCTTGGAAGTCGAATTTTCCTTTGGTGTACTTTTCGAGCTTTCCTTGTTCAACTGCTTTATTCGTTAACCTGAAATTTGCTTTTGTTATGCCTAGTGACTTCAACAAGACATCAAAACATCCGAACAAACATGCTGTAACCCCCTTCATCATCCACATTCTATGTTCATTCCTCCATGTTAAAATGAACCACCACTAGAGAAGACTTCATACAGATGCTGACAAAGGGAGGACGCGTACACAATTGCAAACACTGCAAACCACGGGTCTCTCATTGTTTCTATGTTCACTTTAAATTCAAATTTTTTAATTAATTAAAATCATAATATATTAATTTCGTATGAGAGCGAAAAAAATGGTTGGTCTGGTCTTATTTTAAGGGTTAAATAAGGAATTGCCAAAATTCAAACTCGAAACATTTGAATTTACAACTAATTTCTATTACCCTTGAGGTTATTAATATAGTTTTATAATTCGTGTGGCTCACATGTCTTCCCTCCATTCACATTAAATATGCATGATAATCTGTTATAATAACAAATGATAGAATAGCAATTTCATAATTCAAAATATGGTAGCATGCCTTTATTTCATTTAATTTAATAAAATAAAATAAAAAAAACAAGTGTTTATTCAATTTATATGATGATTATGACCCATTCTAATCAAAAATCAAATCATTTTTTGAATCCAAACCTTATTTTTTGCCACCACACTTACATTCACCCTAAGATAATTGGATACGGGTACAAAATTAAGGTTTGTTAAAGTTAAAAAATTCTATTTAGTTAATGTAATGACTAAAAATCTTAAAAAAGTGATAAATACTAAGGATCATAATGTTTCAAATGATGAAATACCATAATCAGTGCGTAGAACATAAAAGTTTGAATGAAAATCACATTATGTATCACATATTCGAATATGATATTCAGGTACGAAATTAAGTTAGTCAAAGTTAGAAAACTTTGTTTAGTTAATTATTGGTCAAAGCCTGAAAGACGTGACAAATACTAAGGATTATAATTGTCACATATGATGGAACACCATAATCAAACAACAATAAAAGTGATTTGGATTGAAGCAAGTAGCTTGAGAGGTAAACACATTGAGATGCATAGAAGATTGTTGAAAAAAGTGGAGTTATTTACCATCAAAAAATATGATTGTTGATCCCTTGATAAGTAAGTAAAGAATTATTTGGCAAGCATGTTAGCATTGA